AGCCCCGCACGGATCATTCTGCGCGTTTTTGGCACAGTCAAGTCAAGAGTATGTATACGTGTGGCGCAGGCACAGCCACGCTCAGCATCACGTGATACGCATGAATGGTAAACTCTCGCGTGCCCGCTGCAGGCGCTGCATAGCATCCCCGATCCGTTGGAAACTCGTGACTTGCTCGGCAGGGAGGTACGACAAGGTAGAGGAGTCGCTGCGCTGCTGGTTCTTCTCACCATCATTCCTATGGATCACTCGAATCCGGGATCAAGCCAGACTTTTCGATACTTTTCCAATTGTCGCGATCACACGTAACATCACTCAACCGACTAACGGCGAGCATGTCCCAACAATATTCCTACGGAGGTGGAGGTGGATACGGTGGTGAGTGGGAGTCATTCAGACGATGCACACCAGCAGCTTGCGCTGACATACGCGATTCCTGTCACGGGAATAGCGCCACCTCAAGGAGGAGGAGGAGGTGGTGGTTATGGTGCTCCACCGCCTCATCAAGGAGGCTACGGGGGTCAGCAACAGCAAGGCTACGGAGCCCCTCCTCCTCAGCAGCAGTATGGTGGAGGCGCACAGGGCGGTCGTCCGGGTGGAGGTTATCCACCTGCAGGATCAGGCTACCCTCCTCAGCGCGCACAAGTATACAATCGTCACACTGGTCCTCCTCCTGGTGCAGACCCTCAGCTCTGGTGAGTTCGAATTGGGTGCATACATGCCACTTTGATCGGCGTGGACAGGCTGGCTGATGTTGTGGGGTGGGACCTTCTACAGGGGCTGGTTCACTTCGTGTGATAGGGACGGCAGGTGAGTACTGCACCAGATCGGCGTCATGTTCCAATCAAGCAGCCGCTGACACCCGACGCCACAGCGGCCAAATTGACGCTCGAGAGCTTTCGGCGGCTCTCGTCAATGGAGATTGGAGTCCGTTCCAGGAGTCGAGTACGTACAGCTGACTCGTGACAAATTCGAAGCAGCTTTCTGCACAGCGCACTCAAATTTCCCTTTGGGCTTTTCTACAGCCGTCAAGATGCTCATGAACTTGTTCGATGTGGACCGCAGTGGTCACATTAGGTGAGTTGTGCCACGAAGAACAGACTGCGAAGAGCGTGGCTTATTGAGACGTTTTCCCTCTCTGGACGATGTCAGCTTTGCGGAGTTCGCGGGTCTTTGGAAGTACATCCAGGACTGGCAAGGCGTGTTCCGGCACTTTGATGCAGATCGATCCGGAAGGTGAGCGAGCAGTGTTCCCTTATCTTTTCGTCACCTTCCCGCTCACCCAGGCTAAGGTCTCGGCGCACTCATCAGCATCGACTCTGCTGAGCTCTCTCGCGCGCTGACCCAATTCGGCTACAACCTATCTCCCGGTCTACTGCACCTCGTCACATCCAAATACAGTAAGTATGCTCTTCCATTTCTCATGCCTTGCCTTTTTTCTGACGCGCGCGACTCGTACGTCTCAAACAACTAACTCTGTGCCAGTCCAACTCGACTCTCCCAAACAAGGTGCTCTGCCTTCCAGACCCGGTGCAAACGCTGGCATCAACTTTGATGGCTTTTGCAGAGCTTGCGTCGGCATCAAGTCTGCTACCGAGTCCTTTCAAAAGTTTGACACGGTGAGTCGCAAGAGGTCCGTTCAGGTGATTTGTAAGCTGGTACTAGATGGCTGCGTGGTCTGTCGCATAGCTGGGCGATGCAATGGCACTCATCCTACAAGGATGTCGAAGTTCGCAGGGAGGGGGTCAGGCTGCGAGAGAGAGAAATACCAGTGTCAAGATTCGTTCAATGTTCGCGCTCAATGCAGCTAGCTGATGCTCACATTTTTGCGCACACACCAGCAACGCAACGGAACAGCCACGCTTCACTACGAGGACTTTATGCGCATCCTCTTGAGCGCTCCTTGATGCGTGTGCGGACAAGCGACATCTGCAGAGCAGGAGCAGGAGCAGGAGCTAGAGCTGCTCCGGGGCCGAAGGATGGCGAGCTAGCAGCCCAACGGTGCCTATACTTGTGCAATGAACTCCCTTTGCAACAAAGTCGTGCCATTCTGAACAAGGAATGTGACGTGGACAGTTGCTCTGTAGTCTTTTTCTGACTGAACGAATGGGGGAAAATGGATCGACTTGCAATGCTACGATACAACCAGACGCGTTTTTGTGAAATGGGTTGGATAGGTCGAGGGAGGGGTAGGGGGGAGGGCAAAGCGAACGATTGGTTGCCTATCCCCTTCTCATCTGCACGAGTAGTGCAAGACGGCACCGTTGGTATTGACGACGGCAATGACGCTATTTCCCAATCTCTTCAAGCATCTAGGACAAGTCCTACCTTCCGTAACCTTGACCCTCCTGCTCCTCAATCTGATCAAGCCCTCTTCCAATCCCAACTTTCTGCTCTCCATTACGCTCCTCAACACCTTTTTGTTGGCCAAGACGCTGGATTGCGTTTGTAGAGTCTTGAGCGCAAAGGGAAGGATATCTTGAAGTGGGACGAGGGGAGGAAGCAGGTCCAGGGCTGACTTGGCATCTATGCGAGCTCCCTGCCTGCTGATCAGTGCTAGAGCGGGAGCTAGATGGTTGAGCGAGACGTCCGCCTTCGACGCGCCGTAGCTCGTCGTAGCTGCCGACGCGTCCGAGCCTCCTTTGACCTCGGATGCTCTCAAGTACAGCTTGAGCAAGATCAAAAACACATCTTTGCCCTTCTGCTTCGCCTCTCCCGCTTCCACTTCCACCTCCTCCTTGGAGTCCGAGTCCCACTCAGCATGTGCAGAAGCGTTCCAAACCTTCCTGCAGTACTCTTCCGCCTTTTCATGGTCCTGCAGTCTACTGACGTAGATCTTGAGGGCCGACTCGTGCTGGCCCAATCTGCCCAAAAGGAGCGCCCTAATCTCTAGCAAATCATCATCCCACTCCGAAGCTGGCAATCGACTCAAAATCTTCTCCGCCCTGTACTGATGCGAAAGCTGCAAAAAGCTAGCCAGCTGCTGCACACCTTCCTGTCGATCCGATCCGGCTTGCGTGTCTGTCGAAGCAGCGCGCACGCTCGACGTGATGCGACGAAGCAGCAGCAAAGCTAGCTTCTCGTGCAGTGCTGGATCGCCTTCTCCGAGAGTGATGATGATGTGCTTCAAGTACCGAATGCACAGGCGCGCGTCGAATTT